ATATTGATATGTAATTTTTTCAAAATTTAAACAATAAATTTAATTTATAAAATAATACTTATTTATTTGTACATTTAACCATTAAAGTGACCACGTCACCACTACTATTACATAAAATAAAATTATGAAAGGGTGTAGTTGAAGGTGAATAATTTCTCTTTAACTATTTTCTTGCGTTGTAGGTCCTTAATTTTTCTCCTACGCATTTTCATTCGCTTTCATGCCACAAGTGGGCCATCCAGAACTAGCAAGACCACTTAAATCGTGCCACATGGGCAATTGGGGTGGAAGTCAACCCGACACCTAGCCAGTTTTAGTGACGTGGACCAATGGCGGAAATCTTTGGCAAAACAGTGTGAAACTGTGGTAAATAAAGATGGTGACACCTTTGAATTTTTTTTTTTAAGTGGTTAGGGTATCCACAATCATTCTATGCTATCACAAGGTTAATTTTTTCTATAATTTAATTAAAAGTAGACTATTTATATTAAGATTAAATAATTCATAAAAATTATTTTTTATTAATTAAAACTAAATAAATCTTAACCACTAAAATAAAAAATAAACTCTTTTACAAATTAAATCATAAATATCTTTCAAAGTATTAACTAAATATACTCCCTCTAATCCCTTCTAGTTCTCCTGGTAAGGGTTTTCATTGACATGCTCACATGCGTGAGTAAAATGATAATTTAGATAAAATCTTTAATTTTGCACACTAAAATTCCCAATTAATAAAAAATTAATACCTCATATTTCTTAGAGGTTTTTTATTTTATTTTATTCCACTTCACATGTTTTTAACGTGTTATGTCACAAGTTTCTCATAAACATCAAAGGTTTTATACAATAATATTGTTTTTTAAAATTTATTTTGTAAAGATTTGTTACATTATTATTAGGAAAAAAGAGAAATCAGGATGTTTTATCACTAAAATTATCAAAATATTTAATCATAATTATTAAATATATTAGGTATAATATGAATCTCAATTTTATTAAATTTATTATATGGTTATTACTAAATAAATATTTTAATATTTTTAATATCAAAATATTTTAATTTTTTTTATTATCATTTAAAAAAAGCCGTGTCGGCATGTTCAAAAAAAAAAAAAGGCGTGTCGTATGTGAAAGATTGAAGTGTCAAGGTCAAGGCCGCAAAGGTTGCTTATGGCGTAAAACACGTACTTCTAATTCTAAGTTTTGAATATTTTGGTGCTTTGAATGTTGAAAAACGTGAATAAAAACAAAATAGAAAAATATAAACGATGAATGAATCTCTGGAAAATTCTTTGATTCTAGGTGTTGTGTGTGGAGACTTCAATGGTCATGGAACCCCTTTTTGGTCATTTTCAAGAATGCTTCAACGGAACATGCGAAGAACTGGTACCATAATTTTGTGCTGATTCTCTTGCTTGTTTCTTGCAATTGAAGCTGTTGCGCGTGCCAGCATGCATGCACATTGGAGTTCCTTCTTGTGAAAGATATTAATTGTTATACGCTAAACCTTTAAAAAATTAGATAAAAAAAAAATTAAAATTATATCATTTTAATAATTTATTATTAAAAAAATTAAAACAATATTATTCAATCTTTAAAAAATAAGTTATTTTAATTTTTACAATAAAAATTTATTAAAACGATATAATTTTAAAATATTTTTACCTAATTATTTTAAGTTTGATTGATAAATATTTTTTACTTGTCAAATAAATATAATTAAAAAATTAAAATCTTACTAATACTTTTTTGGAAAAAGAAATATATTAATACTTCCGTTCAATTTTAGTTGAATGGAGCTGTACATAGCAAAAAAAATTTAATTGTCAATTCATATAGTATTTTGTTAAATTTGGATATAAAATTTATGTTTGAAGAAGTTTGTTACCATATTTTCTAATCTAACAATTCAAATTTGATAAGTCATTATCTCAAAAAGAGGAGTTGGATTCAAATTTTCTTTTCTCAAAGTATGTTTTTCAAAATCTTGGAAAATTCTCTAGTCACTGAGGGTTTTTAAGTCGGGGGTGAGGTATATAATTATACATATCTTAGTTCGAATAGGCGGCAGGTCCGGGCCTAGGCACACTAGCAAGTCTGGCTTCTTGGACTCAAACATGAACCACGCAGTTGAACTTTGCAGGCCTACTTCCAAGACACGCATATGTCAAGCCCAATGTCAGCCTAATTGATCCAGTGGGCCAGGTTGCTTATCTGTCGGAGAGGTGGGAGAGAAATGATCAGGATCGCGTCAGCATGGCTATTCGATGGAAGTTTCATTTATTTTATTTTATTTTTTCCAAAGAAACAAGAGCAATTAGAGTATAAAAATATTATTTTATGATTTAAATTATATTAAATTATAAAATATAAATAATTTGATAAGAGAGGGTCTTTAATAATTAATTTAATATAATTTGAACTCCATTATATTTTTATGTTAATTTATTCATGTTAGATTTAAATTAAATATTTTGAATTCAAATTTTGAAACAAAAAAGGAAGAATTGAAAAAAAAAAATTGAGGGTTACCCCTATTATATAATAATTAAAAAATATTTTTCATTATATAATTTATCATCTAATATTACATTTAATTTGAATTTTATGCCTCTCATAGTTAATTTTGTGAACCAGCTTGATAGTTGGGAACGTGATAAATTTGGTAACAGGTCATATACTGTGCCAGATTCGGCGATTTCGACTCAGAAGCCGACCCTACAACACAAGTCGTTGAAGACATTTCTTAGTAAACCGGACCCATTTTCACCAGCTGATTATTTCCTGGATGTGGAACAAC